GTCACTTTAAAGTAGTCCAGTTACACCTTTGTGGGCTTATAACGTTTCTTCTGAATGTCCTAGAGAGGTCAGGTTTGTTTTAGAGTACTCCAATGAACTGCCCCTATAACCCCAAAAAGGACCGGAGTCATTAGCACTTATGGTTATTAAATGGCACCCAGAATTATGTCGCACAAAGCACAATCTCACATCATTCCGGGTCCATTTCTCAGAAAAAAGCTTTAATCAGGCTGAAACATCACAAAAAAGTAGAATCTATTGAGTTGTAAATGATTCCTGTGTTTCATGATGATAGCACATTCCTAAGGGGGTCAAGTTAGGTCATAAAGGTCACCGGATCACTTGTTCCTTAAAGGCGGTATTCCAAACACACCTTTGGGGGCTTATAACTTGGCTTCTGAATGTCTCAGAGAGGTCAGGTTTGTTTGAGGGTACTCCAATTAACAGCCCCTACAACCCCAAAAAGGAATGGAGTCATTAGCACTTATGGTTTTTAAATGGCACCCAGAATTATGTCGCACAAAGCACAATTTCACATCATTCCGGGTCCATTTGTGTGAAAACAAGGTCCAATCAGGCTGAAACGCTACAGGAAGGTAGAAACTATGTAGTTGTAGGTGATCTGAACATTTTATGATGATAGTACATTCCTAAGGGGGTCAAACCATGTCCCAAAGGTCACCGGGCCTGGTGTCACTTTAAAGAAGTAGTCCTGTTACACCTTTGTGGGCTTATAACTTTTCTTCTAAATGTCCTAGAGAGGTCAAGTTGTTTTAGAGTACTCCAATTACCAGCCCCTACAACCCCAAAAAGGAATGGAGTCATTAGCACTTATGGTTTTTAAATGGCACCCAGAATTATGTCGCACAAAGCACAATTTCACATCATTCCGGGTCCATTTCTCAGAAAAAAGCTTCAATCAGGCTGAAACGTCACAGAAAAGTAGAATCTATTGAGTTGTAAATGATTCCTGTGTTTCATGATGATAGCACATTCCTAAGGGGGTCAAATTAGGTCATAAAGGTCACCGGATCACTTGTTCCTTAAAGGCGGTGTTCTAAAAACATTTGGGGGCTTGTAACTTGGCTTCTGAATGTCTCAGAGAGGTCAGGTTTTTTTAGGGTACTCCAATCCACAGCCCCTATTACCCCAAAAAGGAATGGAGTCATTAGCACTTATGGTTTTTAAATGGCACCCAGAGTTATGTTGCACGAAGCACAATTTCACATCATTCTGGGTCCATTTGTGTGAAAACAAGGTCCAATCAGGCTGAAACGCTACAGCAAGGTAGAATCTATTGAGTTGTAAGTGATCTGAAAGTTTCATGATGATAGCACATTCCTAAGGGGGTCAAACCATGTCCCAAAGGTCACCGGGTCTGGTGTCACTTTAAAGAAGTAGTCCAGTTACACCTTTGTGGGCATATAACTTTTCTTCTGAATGTCTCAGAGAGGTCAGGTTTGTTTGCGGGTACTCCAATTAACAGCCCCTACAACCCCAAAAAGGAATGGAGTCATTAGCACTTATGGTTTTTAAATGGCACCCAGAATTATGTCGCACAAAGCACAATTTCACATCATTCCGGAGCCATTTCTCAGAAAAATGCTTCAATCAGGCTGAAACGTCACAGAAAAGTAGAATCTATTGAGTTGTAAATGATTCCTGTGTTTCATGATGATAGCACATTCCTAAGGGGGTCAAATCAGGTCATAAAGGTCACCGGATCACTTGTTCCTTAAAGGCGGTATTCCAAACACACATTTGGGGGCTTATAACTTGGCTTCTGAATGTCTCAGAGAGGTCAGGTTTGTTTGAGGGTACTCCAATCAACAGCCCCTATTACCCCAAAAAGGAATGTAGTCATTAGCACTTATGGTTTTTAAATGGCACCCAGAATTATGTTGCACGAAGCACAATTTCACATCATTCTGGGTCCATTTGTGTGAAAACAAGGTCCAATCAGGCTGAAACGCTACAGGAAGGTAGAATCTATTGAGTTGTAAGTGATCTGAACGTTTCATGATGATAGCACATTCCTAAGGGGGTCAAACCATGTCCCAAAGGTCACCGGGCCTGGTGTCACTTTAAAGTAGTCCAGTTACACCTTTGTGGGCTTATAACGTTTCTTCTGAATGTCCTAGAGAGGTCAGGTTTGTTTTAGAGTACTCCAATGAACAGCCCCTATAACCCCAAAAAGGACCGGAGTCATTAGCACTTATGGTTATTAAATGGCACCCAGAATTATGTCGCACAAAGCACAATCTCACATCATTCCGGGTCCATTTCTCAGAAAAAAGCTTTAATCAGGCTGAAACATCACAAAAAAGTAGAATCTATTGAGTTGTAAATGATTCCTGTGTTTCATGATGATAGCACATTCCTAAGGGGGTCAAATTAGGTCATAAAGGTCACCGGATCACTTGTTCCTTAAAGGCGGTATTCCAAACACACCTTTGGGGGCTTATAACTTGGCTTCTGAATGTCTCAGAGAGGTCAGGTTTGTTTGAGGGTACTTCAATTAACAGCCCCTACAACCCCAAAAAGGAATGGAGTCATTAGCACTTATGGTTTTTAAATGGCACCCAGAATTATGTCGCACAAAGCACAATTTCACATCATTCCGGGTCCATTTGTGTGAAAACAAGGTCCAATCAGGCTGAAACGCTACAGGAAGGTAGAAACTATGTAGTTGTAGGTGATCTGAACATTTTATGATGATAGTACATTCCTAAGGGGGTCAAACCATGTCCCAAAGGTCACCGGGCCTGGTGTCACTTTAAAGAAGTAGTCCTGTTACACCTTTGTGGGCTTAAAACTTTTCTTCTAAATGTCCTAGAGAGGTCAAGTTTGTTTTAGAGTACTCCAATTACCAGACCCTACAACCCCAAAAAGGAATGGAGTCATTAGCACTTATGGTTTTTAAATGGCACCCAGAATTAAGTCGCACAAAGCACAATTTCACATCATTCCGGGTCCATTTCTCAGAAAAAAGCTTCAATCAGGCTGAAACGTCACAGAAAAGTAGAATCTATTGAGTTGTAAATGATTCCTGTGTTTCATGATGATAGCACATTCCTAAGGGGGTCAAATTAGGTCATAAAGGTCACCGGATCACTTGTTCCTTAAAGGCGGCGTTCTAAACACACATTTGGGGGCTTGTAACTTGGCTTCTGAATGTCTCAGAGAGGTCAGGTTTTTTTAGGGTACTCCAATCCACAGCCCCTATTACCCCAAAAAGGAATGGAGTCATTAGCACTTATGGTTTTTAAATGGCACCCAGAATTATGTTGCACGAAGCACAATTTCACATCATTCTGGGTCCATTTGTGTGAAAACAAGGTCCAATCAGGCTGAAACGCTACAGGAAGGTAGTATCTATTGAGTTGTAGGTGATCTGAACGTTTTATGATGATAGTAGAGAGAGGTCAGGTTTGTTTGAGAGTACTCCAATTAACAGCCCCTATAACCCAAAAAAAGGAATGGAGTCATTAGCACTTATGGTTATTAAATGGCACCCAGAATTATGTCGCACAAAGCACAATTTCACATCATTCCGGGTCCATTTCTCAGAAAAAAGCTTCAATCAGGCTGAAACGTCACAGAAAAGTAGAATCTATTGAGTTGTAAATGATTCCTGTGTTTCATGATGATAGCACATTCCTGAGGGCGTCAAATCAGGTCATAAAGGTCACCGGATCACTTGTTCCTTAAAGGCGGAGTTCCAAACACACATTTGGGGGCTTATAACTTGGCTTCTGAATGTCTCAGAGAGGTCCGGTTTGTTTTAGGGTACTCCCATCAACAGCCCCTATTACCCCAAAAAGGAATGGGGTCATTAGCACTTATGGTTTTTAAATGGCACCCAGAATTATTTTGCACTAAGCACAATTTCACATCATTCTGGGTCCATTTGTGTGAAAACAAGGTCCAATCAGGCTGAAACGCTACAGGAAGGTAGAATCTATTGAGTTGTAGGGATCTGAACGTTTCATGATGATAGCACATTCCTAAGGGGGTCAAACCATGTCCCAAAGGTCACTGGGCCTGGTGTCACTTTAAAGAAGTAGTCCTGTTACACCTTTGTGGGCTTATAACTTTTCTTCTGAATGTCCTAGAGAGGTCAGGTTTGTTTTAGAGTACTCCAATTAACAGCCCCTATAACCCCAAAAGGGAATGGAGTCATTAGCACTTATGGTTATTAAATGGCACCCAGAATTATGTCGCACAAAGCACAATTTCACATAATTCCGGGTCCATTTCTCAGAAAAAAGCTTCAATCAGGCTGAAACGTCACAGAAAAGTAGAATCTTTTGAGTTGTAATTGATTCCTGTGTTTCATGATGATAGCACATTCCTAAGGGCGTCAAATCAGGTCATAAAGGTCACCGGATCACTTGTTCCTTAAAGGCGGTATTCCAAACACACCTTTGAGGGCTTATAACTTGGCTTCTGAATGTCTCAGAGAGGTCAGGTTTGTTTGAGGGTACTCCAATCAACAGCCCCTATTACCCCAAATAGGAATTGAGTCATTAGCACTCATAGTTTTTAAAGGCCCCGTGTGTGAAATTCACAGAAATCATAGTAAAAAGATCCGATTCTTTAGCACCACGCAGTTTAGAGTCGGTATTGCAGCTATTGGAGCCCCCGAGGGTCAAAAAGGTTTTTTTTAAATCATTATTTAAAACTTTATTAACAAATATAACAAATACAATACAAAATCGTGTTGCTGTAAACGGCAGCATGTCATCATCTAATTCCAGCTTTCAAGTCAGCGAACAGGTTAGTTGTTTTCATCTAACTTATTTTATTAATTAAATCTAAATAGGTTTTGAATAAGAAAAACTTTTTTATGTCAGTTATGTTTGCTAATAGCAAACGGCAGCTAGTTAGTGATGACTTCTGACTACAAAAAATCACAATATTTTGTTCATTTTATTTGAGAAATTTTATATTTCTATTTGCCATTTTGGAAATATACAAGGTAGTGTAGTCTGTAATTGTTTTCTCTCCGTAAACAGAGTCAGATATCATCCGATGGTTCATCAGTGGAGACAGACAGAGGACGAGGGAGAGGAAGAGGGCGAGGAAGAGGGAGAGGAAGAGGGAGAGGACAGACGTGTGCCAGCGCACAGAGAGGCAGAGGTGTTAGACATGCGACAGAAGCAGGGCAAGCATCCCAAGATGAAGGAGCCGAATTTGCTCAAACCAGCCGCAACGTCCCACGCACAAGAGGAAGAGGCAGAGCTGCAATAAAGTCTAGAAGATCGGCGCTTTCAAGAGCTGATGAGGAGAGAGTCGAGGAGCTTCAAAGGGAAAGAAGAGCAGAAATTGAGGTTTGTGTAAGATAATGAGCAAATTAATAATTATCTGGGTCAATATATGCCGTCCTGTCACTCATTTCAATCATATAAGTACATACGGTAATTCTATTTAACCGTATAGCAAGTGTTTGGAATTATATGTAGTTTTGTAAAACATTCAGTGTCCTACTTCTTTCCTAATACATATTATTTGTTTTTGATAGTACCTTTATTTTAGGAATTAGCCATTTAATATATATATTATTAATCAGCTAGTCTTATAAACTTGTTAAAACATTTACAAAACATTGCTTTTTACTGTAATTCAATTAAAATAATCTTACAAAAATTCTAATCCTACTTTTCCCCCCAGCGCCTTGTACAGGGCATGAGCCTGGAGGACCACCGTCATCTCACCTCTCAACTTTTGGAAAGACAGCCAGGTCTGGTTTTTGATGTTTTGTTGAACAACCAACGCCGAGATAGGCACACCACACCCGTGCAGGCCCCTGCGTTAACATGGTGTACTTGTGGCAATTGCACAGATATGCCAACAGATGCAGAGCGCAAATGCTGTGGACAAGACTCTGTAAACTGTATAAGCCTTCTGCCCCATTTTAGACTTTACTGTTTGGATGAAGGTGTCCTGAGGATCCATCGTCAGTACAGAGCAGACCTCACCGTATTAGTACAGATTAGGGAACCAGGCGATGACATCAGGGAATACAGGTATGCTGCCTACCGGCACTTCATTTTCTGGCAGCATGGGTCACTTGGACATGGAAATCGAAGAGTCATCCCAAGTTGCTGTGTGGTCAAAATTAGGGAGAAATTTCCAGACCCTCATGGACAGTATACTGGTTTTCTTCCGGGAGTGTAACTGGTCAAAAGTTTACATGGGTTGTTGAAGTGTTTCTGATATTTTGTACACCTTTATATTGTAATTTATTATGTTGAATAAGTATTTTAAATAAATATTTTTTGAAACCCCAATGTTAGTGTTGTACAATAATGACAAATTTAGAGGTGGCTACTCTTCAGCCATGTATATTCTTGTAATGTGAAAAAAAAAACACATCTTTACAACTCCATAGTTTTGCATTACATTAGTGAGCTATTAATTTACACTCTTACAGGGTCAAGTCATGAAACAAAAAATATGTAATTTTCTGAAAGACATAAGAAATAAAGAAATTAGTACAGATGCACTTTTATTTGAATTAACCTTATTCAGAGTTTGAACAGACAAATTTGGAACACATTTTAATCTTGAAACATGATTTTACACACTTTAGAATAATAAAGAGTAGATCTAACGTAAAAGACTGTGCAGAATTTATGTGCTACTTCAAGTAAAAAGAACACCATGTTAGCAAAGTAGGAAAGACATCAAAGTGCAATATCTACATTTTTATGTACATTACATTAGTAACACGCAGCAGGTATAGAATACTCCATGTAAATGTAGACAAGATCGTCACTGGAGGCCTGTAGCTGTGTTGAGTTCTGATACTGTGAAAAAAGTATTGTAAGACAAGTGTAGGTAAAGAACTGAGCTGTAGTCAAAGGATGCTAAAATGACACATACCAAGACCTCGGCTGACTTGGATCTGCACTAGCTCCGAAATAGGTGGTGGAGCGATGGGTGGCACAAGACCGAGCCGTCTGGGGTCACCATCCCTCATTGATCTGGTACGAGGCATCCCGACTCCTCTCGCCAACCTCTCGTTGATTATTTTTGATCGGAGTACTGGAATGTATTCGTAGCCCTTTTCTGATTTTAGTGAATACACACTGTACCTTCTGGCATTCTTATTGTACTTCCGTTTGAATCTAAAAAATAGGACAATTGCATAATGAATTTCTGTCACGACAATGGGACAAACTTAAATAACGTGTAGTAACGTTTTAAGATGGTGTGCTACATTTTTGGCACTAGTTAGCATGAGCTCTTTCCCAAACTCTAGCTCACTCCACACAAACTTTGTGTCACAAAGCACACAACTACTACAATGAAGAAATTAAACACACATTTTTAACTTACCTGTCCAAAAGGAAGGTAGCAAGCTCAGCGTGTCTACTGAATCCCTTTTGTAACATGAGGTCTCTCCATCTTGGGAAGGCAACTCCTATATTTACTCTGGTTTTCTCATGACGCCGGTCTTGTTCACTTTTCAAAATCCTTTTTCTTTTACTTGGATGAGACAAACTATCCCGTTTCTCAAGTTTGCTTGAAGAATATGTGTGATCCTGCATCGCTAGAATTACGGTGTGGCTAGTTTCTTCTTCTTCTTAGTTACTTTGTCAGACTGCATGCTTACAAGGCGCACTTCTGCCCCCTGCTGTTTCTTTGAGGTTACATCATTTAAAAACGCAAACATCAAATGCGAAGCTTAATATGTTGTATGTCCCTAAAAGGTCACTGTATTTTAAGATGGCGCATGCCATATGGAGCACCGGTCTGCTTCTTTTGTCTAAAATATTAAAATATAAAGCTAATAATAATGTTTAGAATAAATGCTTGTTTGAATTATCATTTAAAAAAAACAAATTTGAGAATGTGATACAAGAAATTTGATAACTTATAAGATGAAATATCACACATTGGGCCTTTAAATGGCACCCAGAATTATGTTGCACGAAGCACAATTTCACATCATTCTGGGTCCATTTGTGTGAAAACAAGGTCCAATCAGGCTGAAACGCTACAAGAAGGTAGAATCTATTGAGTTGTAGGTGATCTGAACGTTTCATGATGATAGCACATTACTAAGGGGGTCAAACCATATCCCAAAGGTCACCGGGCCTGGTGTCACTTTAAAGAAGTAGTCCTGTTACACCTTTGTGGGCTTATAACTTTTCTTCTAAATGTCCTAGAGAAGTCAAGTTTGTTTTATAGTACTCCATTTACCAGCCCCTACAACCCCAAAAAGGAATGGAGTCATTAGCACTTGTGGTTTTTAAATGGCACCCAGAATTATGTCGCACAAACCACAATTTCACATCATTCTGGGTTCATTTCTCAGAAAAAAGCTTCAATCAGGCCGAAACGTCACAGAAAATTAGAATCTATTGAGTTGTAAATGATTCCTGTGTTTCATGATGATAGCACATTCCTAAGGGGGTCAAGTTAGGTCATAAAGGTCACCGGATCACTTGTTCCTTAAAGGCGGTATTCCAAACACACATTTGGGGGCTTATAACTTGGCTTCTGAATGTCTCAGAGAGGTCAGGTTTGTTTTAGGGTACTCCAATCAACAGCCCCTATTACCCCAAAAAGGAATGGAGTCATTAGCACTTATGGTTTTTAAATGGCACCCAGGATTATGTTGCACAAAGCACAATTTCACATCATTCTGGGTCCATTTGTGTGAAAACAAGGTTCAATCAGGCTGAAACGTTACATGAAGGTAGAATCTATTGAGTTGTAAGTGATCTGAAAGTTTCATGATGATAGCAGATTCCTAAAGGGGTCAAACCATGTCCCAAAGGTCACCGGGCCTGGTGTCACTTTAAAGAAGTAGTCCAGTCACACCTTTGTGGGCTTATAACTTTTCTTCTGAATGTTCTAGAGAGGTCAGGTTTGTTTTTGGGTACTCCATTCAACAGCCCCTATTACCCCAAAAAGGAATGGAGTCATTAGCACTTATGGTTTTTAAATGGCACCCAGAATTATGTTGCACGAAGCACAATTTCACATCATTCTGGGTCAATTTGTGTGAAAACAAGGTCCAATCAGGCTGAAACGCTACAAGAAGGTAGAATCTATTGAGTTGTAGGTGATCTGAACGTTTTATGATGATAGTAGAGAGAGGTCAGGTTTGTTTGAGAGTACTCCAATTAACAGCCCCTATAACCCAAAAAAAGGAATGGAGTCATTAGCACTTATGGTTATTAAATGGCACCCAGAATCATGTCGCACAAAGCACAATTTCACATCATTCCGGGTCCATTTCTCAGAAAAAAGCTTCAATCAGGCTGAAACGTCACAGAAAAGTAGAATCTATTGAGTTGTAAATGATTCCTGTGTTTCATGATGATAGCACATTCCTAGGGGCGTCAAATCAGGTCATAAAGGTTACCGGATCACTTGTTCATTAAAGGCAGGGTTCCAAACACACCTTTGGGGGCTTATAACTTGGCTTCTGAATGACTTAGAGAGGTCCGGTTTGTTTGAGGGTACTCCAATCAACAGCCCCTATTACCCCAAAAAGGAATGGAGTCATTAGCACTTATGGTTTTTAAATGGCACCCAGAATTATGTTGCACAAAGCACAATTTCACATCATTCTGGGTCCATTTGTGTGAAAACAAGGTCCAATCAGGCTGAAATGCTACAAGAAGGTAGAATCTATTGAGTTGTAGGTGATCTGAACGTTTTATGATGATAGTACATTCATAAGGGGGTCAAACCATGTCCCAAAGGTCACCGGGCCTGGTGTCACTTTAAAGAAGTAGTCCTGTTACACCTTTGTGGGCTTATAACTTTTCTTCTAAATGTCCTAGAGAGGTCATGTTTGTTTTAGAGTACTCAAATTACCAGCCCCTACAACCCCAAAAAGGAATGGAGTCATTAGCACTTATAGTTTTTAAATGGCACCCAGAATGATGTCACACAAAGCACAATTTCACATCATTCCGGGTCCATTTCTCAGAAAAAAAGCTTCAACCAGGCTGAAACGTAACAGAAAAGTAGAATCTATTGAGTTGTAAATTATTCCTGAGTTTCATGATGATAGCACATTCCTAAGGGGGTCAAATCAGAACATAAAGGTCACCGGATCACTTGTTCCTTAAAGGCGGTATTCCAAACACACATTTGGGGGCTTATAACTTGGCATCTGAATGTCTCAGAGAGGTCAGGTTTGTTTTAGGGTACTCCAGTCAACAGCCCCTATTACCCCAAAAAGGAATGGAGTCATTAGCAATTATGGTTTTTAAATGGCACCCAGAATTATGTTGCACGACGCACAATTTCACATCATTCTAGGTCCATTTGTGTGAAAACAAGGTCCAATCAGGCTGAAACGCTACAGGAAGATAGAATCTATTGAGTTGTAGGTGATCTGAACGTTTCATGATGATAGCACAATCCTAAGGGGGTCAAACCATGTCCCAAAGGTCACCGGGCCTGGTGTCACTTTAAAGAAGTAGTCCAGTTACACCTTTGTGGGCTTATAACTTTTCTTCTAAATGTCCTAGAGAGGTCAAGTTTGTTTTAGAGTACTCAAATTACCAACCCCTACAACCCCAAAAAGGAATGGAGTCATTAGCACTTATGGTTTTTAAATGGCACCCAGAATGATGTCACACAAAGCACAATTTCACATCATTCCGGGTCCATTTCTCAGAAAATAAGCTTCAACCAGGCTGAAACGTCACAGAAAAGTAGAATCTATTGAGTTGTAAATGATTCCTGTGTTTCATGATTATAGCACATTCATAAGGGGGTAAAATCAGGTCATAAAGGTCACCGGATCACTTGTTCCTTAAAGGCGGTATTCCAAACAGACCTTTGGGGGCTTATAACTTGGCTTCTGAATGTCTCAGAGAGGTCAGGTTTGTTTGAGGGTACTCCAATCAACAGCCCCTATTACCCCAAATAGGAATGGAGTCATTAGCACTCATGGTTTTTAAATGGCACCCAGAATTATGTTGCACGAAGAACAATTTCACGTCATTCTGGGTCCATTTGTGTGAAAACAAGGTCCAATCAGGCTGAAACGCTACAGGAAGATAGAATCTATTGAGTTGTAGGTGATCTGAAAGTTTCATGATGATAGCAAATTCCTAAGGGGGTCAAACCATGTCCCAAAGGTCACCGGGCCTGGTGTCACTTTAAAGAAGTAGTCCTGTTACACCTTTGTGGGCTTATAACTTTTCTTCTAAATGTCCTAGAGAGGTCAAGTTAGTTTTAGAGTACTCCAATTACCAGTCCCTACAACCCCAAAAAGGAATGAGTCATTAG